TAGAAGTCCTAGCCACAGCAATTAGGCAAGAAAAAAATTAAAGACATCCAAATTGGAGGGGAAGAAGTAAGCTTATTTCTATTTTTTCTATTTGCAGATGACATGATATTATATGCAGAAAGCCCTAAAGAATCTACAAAAAAAAATCTATTAAAACTAATGAACATATTCAGCAACAATGGAGGGTACAAGTTCAATACACAAAAATCAGCTGAATTAAAATTTTTTTTAATGTTTTATATTTGAGAGAGAGAGAAAGAGAGAGAGTATGCAAGCAGGGGAGAGACAGAATCTGAAGCAGGCTCCAGGCTCTGAGCTGTCAGCACAGAGCCCGACACAGGTCTTAAACTCAGGAGCAGTGAGATCATAACCTAAGCCAAAGTCGGATGTGTAACTGACTAAGCCACCCAGGCACCCCTGAGCTGAATTTTTGACACTATCAATGAACAATCTGAAAATAAAATTAAAAAGGAATTCCATTTGTAATAGCAGAAAAAAATAAAATAGTTAGGAATAAATTAAACCAAGGGGTTGCAGAAGTGTACACTGAAAACAATAAAATATTCCTCAATTAAAGACTACCTAAATACATGGAAAGAAATGTCTTCATGAATTACAAGACAATATAGTTAAGATAAAAATACTCCACAAAGTGATTTACAGATTCATTGTGATCTTTAAAAAAAAATCCCATTTGCCTTTTTTGTTTGCAGAAATAGAAAAGCCAAACCTAAAACTCATGTTGAATTGCACAGAACCCTAAACAGGCAACAAAAACAAAAACAAAAACAAAATTGAAGGCTCACATTTCCCATTTTCAACACTTAATACAAAACCATAGTAATCTCAAAAGTGTGTTACTGATCTAAGGATAGATATAAACCCAGTGGAATACACCTGAGAATATGGAAATAAAGGACTTATGTCATATGTCCTATATACACATGATTCTTGACAATGGTGACAAGAGCATCAATAAGGGAAAGAACAGTCCCTTCAATAAATGGTCCTTTGACAAACAGATAATCTAAATGCAAAAGGTATGAACTTCGACCTGGATTTCATACCATATATAAACACTAAAAGTGGATAAGAGACATTAATATAACAGCTAAAACTATGAAATTCTCAGAAGAAAATGTACAGGTAAATCTTTATGACCCTAGGTTTAGCAAATGGGTTCTTTGACACACACAAGAGAAAAACAGGTAAAGTGGATTTCATGAAAATTAAGAATTTCTGTGCACCAGAGGATATTATTAAGAGAGTCAAAAGGTATTTTGAGGATCATGTACCTGAAAGGGCTTAGTATCCAGAATATATAGAGAACTCTTACAACACACCAACCAAAATACAAGCAATCCAATTAAAAGATAGTCAAAGGACTTGAACACACAGTCCTCCAAAGAAGATATACAAATGACTAGCAAGCACATGAAAAGATGCCCAACACCATTACCGTTTAGGGAAGTGAAAATCAAAATCACAATGAGGTATCACTTTAGACTCATTTGGATGGCTATAATAAAAAATGGAATGTATCAAGGAGTGGCAAGGATGTGGAGAAATTGTTACCTTCCTTTATTCTTGGTAGAAATGTAAAATGTTGCAACAACTATGGAAAACAGTTTAATGGTTCCTCAAAAAAGTTGGGAATTAAATTACCATATGACCAAACAATTCTACTCTGAAGTTTATATTCAAAATAATTGAAGGCACGTGCACAAACAATAATTTGTACCCACATGTTCATTGAAGCACTTTGGCTCACAAGAGTCAAAGGAGGAATCAATCCAAATGCCCATGAATGGATGACTAGATGAGCAATATGTTGTACATCCATTCAATGTAATATTAGTCAGTCATAACAAGGAGTGAAGTACTGATAAATGCCACACAACAGATGAATCTTGAAAACATTAAGCTAAGTAAAAAAAATTCAGACACAAAATGTCACATATTTGTATCATTACATTTATATGAGATATCCAGATAGGCAAATCCATAAAAACAGAAAGCAGATTAGTGGTTGCCAGGGGCTGAGGGGATGGTGGGATGGGAGTACTGCTTAACAGATATGTGGTTTCCATTTCAGGTGATGAAAATGTTTTGAAATTAAATAATAGTGATGGTATATTAGGAATATACTTTATGCTACCACATTGTATACTTATTTAATATAGCTAAAATGGTAATTTTTATGTTGTATGTATTTACTACTAATAAAAAACATTTCCATTTGCAACACCTGGGGGGCTCAGTCGGTTGAGCATGTGACTCTATATTTGAGCTCAGGTCATGATTCCAGGGTTGTGGAATTGAGCCCCATGGCAGGCTCCACACTGAGCATGGACCCTGCCTGGAATTCTGTCTCTCCGTCTCCCTTGGTCACTCTCCCCCACTCATGGACGCTCTTTCTAAAATAAAACAAACAACAAACAACAAAACCCCACTTCCATTTAATTTTAGGAACAAGACAAAGATATCTACATTAATTCCTTTTATTATATATTAGAGGATCTAGCCTGTGCAGTAAGAGGTGAAAGAAAATAAGACAAAATGACTGAGGGGAAAAAAAACCCACCTTATTTTCACGTTATAGGAATGTGCATATAGAAAATCCAAAGGAAGGTATAGTTCTTAGAAATAATTTAAGAGTTTAATAAATTGTAAGGAAAGGCAACATTTAAGTATTATCACAAGCAGGTGAAAATATAACTTTGATAATATTTCATTTTTAATAATAAAGAATAAAAACACTCAGGAAGACAGTTATTAAATTTTTATAACAAAAATATAAAGCTAGAAAAAAGAATTTTAAAAGACCTAATCAAAAGGAAATATATATCATGTTCTTGAAGAGGACGATTCAAAATTATAAAGATGTTAGTTCTCCCCAAAATGATCTATAGATTTAATACACTTTGATTGATAATGCAAACAATATTTTTTTTATGAAACATAACCTACTTATTCTAAAATGTATACAGAGTAGCAAAGGGCCAGGAATAGTCAAAGACATACTTGAAGAAAAAGAATGGACTGGACGTCTTTCCCTACCAGGTGATAAGATTTATTATGAAGCCATATTGACTAAAATGCTGTGAATATGCTTCAAACATAACGTATCAGTGAAAGGACCACCTCCATACAAATGCACACATGAGGGGGATCTTGACGTATAACAGAATAGGTACTGCAGAGCAGTGAGGAAAGGGTGAACTATTTATCAGATGTTGCCAGATAACTGCTTATGCACTTGAGGGAAAAATCAATTCACCATATCATACCACACACAAAAGTATCAATCCCTATATAGAACACAGGAAGATAACTCTGTGACTTGGAAAATTTTTTTTCACTGAAATATTTAGTATCACAAATTATGAAGGATGAGATTAGTAAAGGAAACCATTGGTTACATTAAAATTGCTATTAAAAGATAACATTAACAAAAAGCTAAAAGTTCCAAACTGGGACAAGTTTTGCAACACATGTGCAACTAACAAAAAGTCGGCAGTGGGAATATATAAATAACTCCTGAAAATCAATAATCATAATAGACAAGCATGCACAAACAGATTTTATAGAAAAGGAAACACATGACTCATATTAATAACACTCAGCTTCATCAGTAAGTGGGAAAATGAAGGTTTGAACTGCCATAAGATAGTATTTCATATCTCTAGTGTGGCACAAATTAAAGTTTGACAGTAAATTCTGGCAAGGATATGAGCAATAGGAATTCTCATCTTCCTTTATTGGGGCTGTAAAGGCACACAACCACTTTGGAAATGTTGGACATGGGTAGTCATGCTGGGCATTTACAAACCTTGCTATGACCTAGCAATTCCTTTCCTAACTATATACCACGTGAAAGTCTTATACATATATACCAAAAGACACGTACAAAAACCTTCTAAATATCCAGTCTGCCATAATTCCAGGAACAGAAAACAACAGTATTTGTTTTCTAACTATCTCTTTTTTCTCTTTGGTATATCACATTGTGCCTTACGTTGACACACCACTTTTCTTTACCTCCGGGTTGGCTGGTTTTGTTTTTTAATTTTGGCTGTTTATGGTCATACATACAATCATGTGCCTTGTGAGGAGCCATTAACTAACAATACGATGATAATGTACTGAGAAAAATAAAAATAAAATGAAATAGAATTATTGGTCATGACTGCTATTGGTATGTGAGCCCTCAAAAAGGAAGGAAACAATTTTCACTTGCCTTTGTATATGAGACACCGTGCCAGCACAAAGATATGAATGATGCTTGCATCCATTGACTTGACTTCCTATTCCAATCTTCTAGTCTTTCAAAAGTGTTTAAAAACTAATCTCTACAGGAAGCATTCTTTGGTTTATCTCAACCTTAATATGAATTTGGAGGATTTTAATTCTTTTTTCGTGTGTATACTATGATCCATTAATTTTCATTGCTCTCTGCATGTCCTGTCAAATCTTTTTTTGTGCATATGATATGCACGTCTCCAAGGTCAATGTCAGCTCTATGGGACACTATATTTCAAATTCACATCAAACACACAATAAAAATCTATTAATGAAGTACACAGACCCTTTATTTCAGGAAAGCAATTTTGTTGTTTTCTTCCTCTTCACATACCCCAGGATCATCATCGCATACTGACAGACTTTATTCCCTCTAGTAGAATATACAGAAGCCATCTCAATCATTACCATTCCTGCTGGATGGTTAAACAGATACCACATGTGAAGCCACAGGTAAAGGTTAAAAAGAATCCTCAAACATCTTATTTTGGTTCTTATCCTTTTTCACATGTATACTATACTATATTTTCACTACTCCTTTCATTTCTTTTGGAATCATTTCATGTACATATAATACTTGTCTTTTTAGCTAGAATGTAAACAAGCTACAGATGAGATGGCAAATGAAAGTCACAGGAGCTTCCAAATATAATCCCCACTGAGTCACTGACAATTTTTCCCAGGAGTTTTTGACTTACCTTTATTGAAGAATGTGCTAACCATAAAGCTGAAGAACATTGTGGCAATAGCAAAACATAGCAAAAAGATGAAGACAAGAGATGGGTCACTGTATTGGATAACTGGCACAGGTTCTATCTAGCAAAACAATCAGGAAACCAGTTGAGTCATACTCTAAATGGTGTCACAGCAAAACAATAGAAGAGAAATGAAACATCTTTAAATATTTTAAAAGTCCTAGTGAAACTAATGACAAGCCTCAGGGAGATGAGTAAACAATTCATTAACTACAGAAGGTCCACACACCTAGACTTAAAGTTTAGTTTGCTGGAGGGGTGCCTGGGTGGCTCAGTCAGTTGAGCACCCAACTTTGGCTCAGGTCATGGTCTCACGGCTTGTGAGTTCGAGCCTTGTGTCAGGCTCTGTGCTGACAGCTCAGAGCCTAAAGCCTGCTTCAGATTCTGTGTCTTCCTGTCTCTCTGCCCCTCCCCTGCTCATGTTCTGTCTCTCTGTCTCTCTCTCAAAAATAATAAACATGTTTTTTAAATCTTAAAAAAAAAAGTTTAGTTTGCTGAGAGACTAAGCAGCACTTGAATTTCCAGAGCGGAGTCACCAATAGGCACATGTTCACTTCCTGAATCCAACAGGACCACACCATATGTATCCGTTTTTCCTCTCAGAGTTTAGCTATAGCCTGGACAGTGAAATAGACACTTGCCTTGGCAAAGAAAATAATGCACATCAAAAGGATGATAACTGAATACAAAGAGAGGAATGTGAAGAAATAGGCAGCCCAGAGCATCCAATTACTGAGTCCTATCATGAGCAGGTACTCCTGTGGGAGAATTAACACAAATCAACATCATGTAAAACAATATAATATACAAAATGCTTTCACAAATATTATCTAAATTTCCACCACAATCAAAATTGGCTAAATAAGAAATATTATCATGCCCAATTTATAGAGGAGATCAATGACTTGACTAAAATTACTCAGCTAGTGTGTGGGAGCTCTGAGATGCTTATAAGCCCATAGATGACCTCACCAATAATTTACCTGATATTGTTCAGGCATGAAACACCCTTAATAAAACTATAAACTACTTACATTAATATCCCCTTTCTTTTTATTATGCCTTCTTCTAGTAGGGCATAATATATTTTAATTCAATGTAATATAAATATATTTTATAAATGTAAACATGTAATGTAAGTATATTTTAATTCAATTACAAAAGATAAAAGCAAATGGACAAATTTTTGGTCAAATTGGCTAAAAAATGAGAGAAGACTCATATTACTAAAATCCAAATGAAACTGGGGACATTACTTCTGATTTTACAGAAATAAAAACAATCACTTAAAGCATACTATAAACAACTATATGCCAAAAAATTAGATAACCTATATAAAAGGCACAAGTTCCTAAAAACACACAAGCTACCAAAACTGAATCATGAAGAAAGAGAAAATCTGAACAGATCAATAATGGGGAATAAGATTAGATCATTAATTAAAGACTTCCAACAAAGTACATCCCTGGAGCAGAAGGCTTTACTGGTGAATTCTATCAAATATTTCAAAAAGAATAAACAATAATACTTCTCAAACTCTTCCAAACACTTGAAGAGGAGGAAACTCATTTTATAAGTCTAGTGTTCAGACAGATACACATGAAAAGAAACTACAGACCAATATCCCTTGTGAATATTGACACAAAATTTTTCAACAAAATAGTATCAAACCAGATTTAGCAGCATGTTGAAAGGATTATACACCATGACCAAGTAGGATTTATTCATGGAACGCAAGGAGAGTTAAACATAGAAAATCAACCAATATAACACACCACATTAAGAGAAAACACATGATCATTTCAGTTGATGCAGAAATTCAAGACTGATAAAACATTCAACTAGAAATAGACGGGAACTCCCTCAACATAACAAAGGCCTTATAAAAAAATAACAGCTAATATCATACTCTTTCACCTAAGATCAAGAGAAAATTAACGATACTAGCTTTCACTCCTATTCAACACAGTATTAGAAGTTCTAATCAGAGCAAATAAATATATAAATATATATATACACACATATACATATATATGTATATATGTGTGTGTGTGTGTGTGTGTGTGTGTGTGTGTGTGTGTGTATCATATGGCATCCAAATTGGAAAGGAAGGAGTACTCTGCAGATGAGATGATCTTACATGTAAACCCCACAGATTCCACACATTAAAAAAAGTCATAATTAATAGATGACCCATCAAAGTAGGAGAATACAAAGTCAACACACAAAAATCAGTAGAACTTCTATATACTATCAATGAGCAATCTGAAATGGAAATTAGGAAAACAATTCCATTTACATTAGCATCAAAAAGAATAAAACACATAAGAACAAACTTAACCAAGGATGCAAAAGACTTGTACAATTGAAACAATGAAAAGTGAAAGATCTCTACATTTTTGAAGCCAAAACACTCCCATAAAATTGGAAAAAAATTAGAAAATTAGATAAAATTTGGGCACCTGGGTGACTCAGTCCATTAAGCACCTGACTCTTGATATCGGCTCAGGTCATGATCTCATGGTTGGTGAGATCAAGCTCCACATGGAGCTCTGTGCTGACAGCACTGGCATTATCTACTAAAGTTAAATATGCATAATCTAACATTCAGCAAAAAATGTATAAAATATTCATAGAATTACTTACGATACCCAAACTCCAAACACAGAAGGAAAATAGGTAAGTTTTGATAGTCATACTACAGAATCTTAAAACTCCTATAACTCAATGACTATGAACGAACTACAGCTGTAAAGAATCACACAGACACAATATAGTGCATGATTCCATTTATATCAAGTTGAAAACAGACAAAACTAACTCATGATATTAGAAATCAGGTTACTGTATACTTTAGGAAAAATGTTTTGAGGGGAACACAATCAGACTTCTAGAGTGTCAGCAGTGTTTTATTTCTTACAGGATCATGATAATATGGGCATACTTTCTTTATGATAACCCATTCAATTCTACTACAATAGTTTCAATGTTATTGTTTCCTCAAAATTCTTAAGTTGAAAACCTAGTCCCTTTGTAGACAAGTCAAGTAAGAAAATGTGACTGAGGTCAGAGAAGTTTTTTCCTGCTTTCTCCTCTAGGGTTTTGATGGTTTCCTGTCTCACATTCAGGTCCTTTATCCATTTTGAGTTTATTTTTGTGAATGGTGTAAGAAAGTGGTCTGGTTTCATTCTTCTGCATGTGGCTGTCCAATTCTCCCAGCACCATTTGTTAAAGAGACTGTCTTTTTTCCACTGGATATTCTTTCCTGCTTTGTCAAAGATGAGTTGGCTATACTTTCGTGGGTCCAATTCTGGAGTCTCTATTCTAATCCATTGGTCTATGTGTCTGTTTTTGTGCCAATACCATGCTGTCTTGATGATTACAGTTTTGTAGTAGAGGCTAAAGTCTGGGATTGTGATGTCCCCTGCTTTGGTCTTCTTCTTCAAAATTACTTTGGCTTCTGGGAAGATGGTGGCATAGGAGGACGCTGGGCTCACCGCATTATGTGGATCACTTAGATTCCACCCACGCCTACCTAAATAACCCAGAAAATCGCCAGAAGACTAGCAGAACGGATTCTCCGGAGCCAAGTGTAGACAAGAAGCCCATGGAAGAGGGCAGGAAGGGCGGAGAGGCGGTGCCTGCTACAAGGACTGGTGGGAGGGAGCTGAGGCGGAGGGATGGCCCGCCGGCCAAGCAGAGGCCCTGAGTCTGGCTTGCAAAAGTGGAGGGGCCAGATGGAGTGTGTTCAGACAGCAAGCAGGACTTAAGATCTGGAAGGTTATAAGTTAACAGATCTGCTCACAGAGCAGGAAGGCTGGAAGACAACAGGAGGGAGAGTTGTTGATCCCCAGATGACAGAGCTCAGCTTGGCGGGGAACAAAGGCGCTCGCCAGTGCCATCTCCCTTGCCCATCCCCCAGCCAAAATCACAAATGTAACCAGTTCCCATCACGAAACTTGCTTGCATCGCGCAGACACCCAACCCAACGCTGTCCTTCTGCAGATACATCCCTCTGGCGGGTCTGACTCCCTCCCGGTGCTGCAGGGCCCCTCCTGAAGTGGATCTCCAAAGGAAAAGCAAGCTGAGCCTGCCCCTCCTGCCCCTGTGCACCTTGCTGATCCACCCCAGCTAATACGCCAGATCCCTAGCATCACAAGCCTGGCAGTGTGCAAGTAGCCCAGATGGGCCACGCCACCCCACAGTGAATCCTGCCCCTAGGAGGGGGGAGGAGAAGGTACACACCAGTCTGACTGTGGCCCCAGCAGTGGGCTGGGGGCAGACATCAGGTCTGACTGTGGCCCCGCCCACCAACTCCAGTTATTCAAGACAGCACAGGGGAAGTGCCCTGAAGTTCTGCACTACTCCAGGGACTATCCAAAATGATGAAACGGAAGAATTCACCTCAAAAAAACTTCCAGGAAATAATGACAACTAAAGAACTGATCAAAAACGATATAAACAATATAACAAAAAGTGAAATTAGAATAATAGTAATAAAATTAATCGCTGGGCTTGAAAACAGTATAGAGGACAGCAGAGAACCTATTGCTACAGAGATCAAGGGACTAAGGAACAGCCAGGAGGAGCTCAAAAATGCTACTAATGAGCTGCAAAATAAAATGGAGACGACCACAGCTTGGATTGAAGAGGCAGAGGAGAGAATAGGTGAACTAGAGGATAAAATTATGGAAAAGAAGAAGCTGAGAAAAAGAGAGATAAAAAAAATCCAGGAGTGTGAGGGGAAAATTAGAGAACTAAGTGATGCACTAAAGAGAAATAATCTATGCATAATTGGTATTCCAGAGGAGGAAGAGAGAGGGAAAGGTGCTGAAGGGGTACTTGAAGAAATCATAGCTGAGAACTTCCCTGATCTGGGGAAGGAAAAAGGCACTGAAATCCAAGAGGCACAGAGAACTCCCTTCAGACGTAACTTGAATTGATCTTCTGCATGACATATCATAGTGAAACTGGCAAAATACAAGGATAAAGAGAAAATTCTGAAAGCAGCTAGGGATAAACATGCTCTAACATATAAAGGGAGACCTATAAGACTCGTGACTGATCTCTCTACTGAAACTTGGCAGGCCAGAAAGGAATGGCAGGAAATCTTCAATGTGATAAACAGAAAAAATATGCAGCCAAAAATCCTCTATCCAGCAAATCTGTCATTTAGAATAGAAGGAGAGATAAAGGTCTTCCCAAACAAACAAAAACTGAAGGAATTCGTCACCACTACACCAGCCCTACGAGAGATCCTAAGGGGGATCCAGGGAGACAAAGTACCAGAGACATCGCTACAAGCATGAAACCTACAGACATCAATTTGACTCTAAACCCATATCTTTCTATAATAACACTGAATGTAAATGGACAACCAAAAGACACAGGGTATCAGAATGGATGAAAGAACAAGACCCATCTATTTGCTGTCTACAAGAGAATGATTTTAGTCCTGAGGACACCTTCAGATTGAAAGTGAGGGGATGGAGAAGTACTTATCATGCTACTGGAAGTCAAAAGAAAGCTGAGGTAGCCATACTTATATGAGACAAACTAGACTTTAAATTAAAGGCTGTAACAAGAAATGAAGAAGGGCATTATATAATAACTACAGGGTCTATCCAACAAGAAGAGCTAACAATTATAAATGTCTATGTGCCAAATACGGGAGCCCCCAAATATATAAAACAATTCATCACAAACATAAGCAACCTTATTGATAAGAATGTGGTAATTGCAGGGGACTTTAATACCCCA